CTGGCAAATGCTGTCGTTTTGTTTGCACCTCTTGGCCCATGCAATGATGTTGGGGCAGTCAGCTTCTATGCTGAAATTCCCACCAGTCTCATAAGAGTAAAACCAACTCGTCAAGGGCAGAAGGATAACATCTACAAACCCAAAGCCTCTCCCCTCCAAAGAAGGGTTTCTCTCCAAGCTCTTACTCAAGTGTCTTCAACCCTTCCATCAGCTCTTTCTTCCCTTCTTCTTGCACTTCTCCTCTCTCCAACCATATTTTCCTCCCAATACTCTCTACCTGCATCAAAACATTAACAACCAAAGAGAATGAAAACATCAATGACTAAACCATTGCCGCTATTATAGTTCAAGGATCAAATTGATTTATGCAAATAAAATACGAGCAACAATATATCCTCCAACGCCCATAAGGGAAGTGTGTTTCGGTAAGATGAGTAGAGTAGGTTAGAGTGCAGTTCCTCATAGGACCAGGTTTCCTAATGTTTAATGTGTCATATTGAAGTTGCAACCTCACAATTCACCTGATAATTAATTAAGCTATGTCTAGGTGAGACCTTTTCAAATTAAGATCAATGTCTAGAAAGTGGGAAAAAAAAAAGAAAAGAAAGGGTTTCCCCACATCTCAAGGTATGTTCTCAAACAATAGGAATTTATAGGTGTGAAATGTGAGCCAGCTAGCTTTCTTGACATGTGATAATACTCGAACATATAGGATCTGAAAAGTATGTGAAATCCACATGTCCCAACAAAAATAGCAGCTTTCACCAGGGAATTGATTCAGGACAGATTACCTACCAAAGGGAATTTGTTCATGAGAGGAATTATTGATGATGCCAGTCCAGTAAATTGTGGGCTTTGTGGGGGAAAACGAGGAAAATGCCAATCAGCTATTTTTGCACTGCAAAGTGGCGCACAGGATTTGGTCCAAATACTTTAAATGGTGGGGGATTCACTTATTAAATGAAAAAAATCTTACATAAAAAATATAATAAAAAATATATTAGTTAAATTCAGGAAAAGTTACTCTATTTATAATCAATTAGTTTTATGTTGGATGTAAACGTTACATTAAAATCTATGTACACAATTTATATGATATCAGAACCAACAATTCATTTTCTAGTAAGCTTGTTATTAACTTACCTGAGAAGACTCAAAATTGATGCTAAACCTACACATAGAGGAGCGTATTAAGTCATCTGACGGGACCAAATGTTCATGTATAGCGGGCTTGCATATGAGGTCTTTCCCACGTCAAAGATATAATAGAGAATGTCCACAATGCAAATTTTCACATCACTATGTCCTTCTAGGTTGTTGCTGGGATTCCCTACATTCCCTGCAACAACATGTGAACACGTTTTGTGAGAAAGAGGTGAATGATGGATGAAGTTTGGAGTGGTTTGCTGCTGTTTGGACGTTATGGTTAGCCAGGAACGAGAAGGTTTTCAATAACAGGAGCCTGAGATCAACAGGATGTTTGATTCCATACAGGGTTCAGTCTTTCCTTTGGCGAAAATTCCGAACAAACAGATTAACATTGTTTGATTGGATAACAAATCCTGTTGATTGTTTTATCTTTGGGAAGGGGAGGTTTTAATTGAATATAACAGAGGTGGGGTGGTCCAAAGCTCGCGGGGGACGTGCATCTTTGTGCTATTTTGGTGCAGGAAGCCTAATTGCACATTACATTGTGTGTTTGTTACCTGGTACTTGTTCTTCATGATTATACTGTGTGTAATTGGGTAATCTATGATGTATATGGGTTGGGAGTAGCCTTGTATTCCATTCATAATAAATTATAAATTTTTTATAGTTATAAGAAAAGAGGAACACATCGGATCCAATCATCCAAAAGAGACTGAAAAAAAAAGAGGAAAAATATTATACTTATAACATCAAATAATATTGTAACTTTATAATTATAATTTGTTATTATATAATTAATTTTTTGATTCAAATTCATATGTAATATTATATGTAATTATTCATTTCATAATATTTCATAATTTTAAACTTACAATTTTTTATAACATTTTTAAAACTAAAATAATATACTTATAACATCAAATTTTTTTTGTTTTGATGAATCAAAAGTGTTATTAATAAGAAGAGTACAAGAGGTACTCACTCATGCATTACATCAAAAGTTCAATAAAAAGTTAAAAATCAATTGCACAATGGAGTGGGGATTGACACCAGTCCACAAAATTGAACTTAGTACAGATAGAGTTTCCTTTGATCCAGCAGAAAGTTCTAGATTGAATTAAGTCAATCAATCTGTTTTCATTCCAAGGCTGTTTTTCAAAAATAATACCATTTCTGCTTACCCAAATGGACCAAGCAGCCGTTGAAATTGTGAGGTTCCACTTATAACATCAAATAATATTGTAACTTTATAATTATAATTTGTTATTATATAATTAATTTTTTTATTTAAATTCATACGTAATATTATATGTAACTATTCATTTCATAATATTTCATAATTTTAAACTTACAATTTTTTATAACATTTTTAAAACTAAAATTAAAGGTTTTGTCATATGTGGGGTTCTACTTCTACCTAAATTTGCATGTCACGGGTTGGTTAATGTGATCTTTCCTTTCTGATGGTTAATGTGATCTTTCCTTTCTGATGGTTAATGTGATCTTTTAATTAGTAAACATACACTCTTTTTTGTTCATTTTTAATAGATTTAATTTGATTTTTTTTACTTTTAAGACATAAATTTTAAATAAAAATTTAATAATATATATAAATAATGATTAATTTTTTTTTTCAATCAAATAAAAATGCACAATAATAACTATATATAGGGAACAAAATTTTAATTATTGTTTATATAAATTGTTAAATTTTTACCTAAAATTTATATCTTAAAAATCAAAAACTCAAAGTAAATCTATTTTAAAAAGAATATAACGAGTACATAATAAAGTCGCCATCAATTTTACATCCTAAAATTTAGGAATCCTTTATATTTCAACGAATGAGTAATGTTATGGTCAAACTTTCAAGGCAAAAACCCTTCTTAAGTCCTCAGACTTACCTCAAAATAATATTTAAATCCTTAAATTAAAAATAAAGTAGATAAACCTTTTAATTCCACTGATATCACGAATAAGCACTTCTCACAAATGAGCCAAACAGTGTAGCTCATGGTGGACTAACTCTCTTTTTTGGGCTTCCACTAATTCACATAGATATATGTGCTAAGGTAGCACCATTCCATGTTGATGTGGATAAAAAGGCTAAATTTAAGTTGGGCGTTGAAACAGGGACAATTTTTTGGTACTATTTTTTTATTTAATTTTCACATATTATTAAATAAATTGATACATTTAATATAATTTTAAATAAATAAAAAGAGCCAATTATTGAAGCGACATGTAAGGTTGTCCATAGATAATTTTCCATTCAAGTTCTGGTTTTTTTTTTTTTTCAAACTTGAGATTTTTTGTCTTGTTTTTATTTGAGCAAAATTCATTCAAGTTTTATTCATTATATATATATGAAAAAATATATTTTAGTCTCGACTCTTAAAAAAATTAAAATTAAAATATTAAATTACGTCGTTTTATTTAATTAAAATTTAATTGAAAATTAAAAAATTTATTTTATTAAATATTTATATTTAAATTTAGAAACTAATTGAATTTTTAAATTTTTAATTGAAATTTCAAATTTTAAATATAGGTTGGGATTTTAATTTTTTTGATAATCAAGATTGATGTGCACCTCATATATATATGATTTAAACTCCAAGTTCTTATCATATTTTTTATTTAAGTAAAATCTATTTAAGTTACTGATAAAATAATTTTACTTTAATAAGAATATTAATTAGTTCAAGTAATATAGTAATGAAATTAAATATTGTTTCGCAAATATTATAGACTAATTAATTATCAATATTAATTAATTCTAAATTTATATGAATAATTAAAATTAAATTATTTCAATGAAGTAGAACTTAGGACAAAAACGAAAATTATTAATACTAGATTTGCTTTTGGTGCATTCACTTTTGGTTATTTCACACCAAGTTGTGGCAAAGGCTTAACGCATGGTATTGACACCACAAAATATGTGTCAACACCATACCCATGTCAGGTTTCTGACTTTTTGCTCTTTCTTTAATGATAAAATAACAAATCTGATCCTTTAACTTTTATAAAATGAGTACTTTGATCCCTTTATACATGGAGTAGTGCAATATCAGCATATATATCTATGTGGATAGTGGAAGTCCAAAAAAGAAACAGAGTTAGTTCACCGTGATATGTACCGTTTAGCCCATTTTTGAGAAGGGCTTATTTGTATTGAGTAGGGCTTATGTGCATTGAGTAGAGTTGGAGGGTTTATTTACTTTGTTTTATTTTAGAGACTTAAATGATATTTTGAGGTAAGTTTAAGAGCTTAAGAAGGGTTTTTTTTTTTTTTTTGTCAACTTTTAATTATTAATATATTTTTTATTTTAACTAAATATTATACTCTTTAATTTATTTAAAAAATAAAAAATGTAGAGTTTTAAGAAAAATAATAAAAATGGAATAATAGTCAGTT